TTAGTTTGTTCTGGATCAAGAACAGGGAAACACTTATCTTTAATGAGGATCTCTAAGACACACACCTTTAATCCATGGAATGGTGCTGCTTACTTGATTGCTACTGGATTTCTCAGCCTGCTTTTTATAGAACCCAGGACCACAAGCCCAAACATTGCACCACACACAATGGGCAAGTGTCTCCCCCATTGGTCACTAGTTGAGAGAATTCCAGACAGCTGGATCTCATGGATACATGTCATTAAATGTGGTCCCTTCCACTCTGATGACTCTAGTTTGTGTCAGGTTGATCAGCAAGTCCTCAAGCACAGTGTTCACTCTTCTCCAATGTTTTGATAGATTCAGGGAATCCAAGAAGCCTGGGCTCTACTTGGCTTGAAACCATTTTTGTTACCAGCCACACCTGTTGCTTATAACTTAAGTCTTTAAGTGTTTTTCTTTTATCTTATATTAATAGTCACACATGTCTATAAGTTCCTTTTATACTTTATAATTTTCTGTGGTCTAATAGTTGAAACATCCCTGGAAGGTCCTCAGGACAGTAGTTTGGTTGGGACATAACCTCTCTTTTTTTCTCCTATAAGTTTGTATTTTAAATCTCTTGATCAGCTTGGGCCAGGGTTTTTCATTTGGATATATTTTTGAAAAATGTCCAAGTTATTCTGTCTATCATCTCAGACTTTTCCTTAGCACATATACATCAGCAATTCCATATTTGATCTTTACTATGATTCCTCATCTAGTGCTTGGAAGTTGTGTTCTCGTATTTCTATGTCCTTGACCTGCATCATTAGATTGTTTGTGATAACCAATATTCCATGACAGAATTCACAGCACTAAACATCCATCCAAAAATTGCATTAACTATTCTTTTTCATGTTGTTTGTCCCAGGAATTTGGCAACAAGATAAAGTGTGGTAATTGAGCAGAACATCATGGCAAGACTCATGGAAGAAAACATCCTTGAAAAGAATTTCATGACCTTAACATCTCTTGGCTCTGGTGGATTTGGGGAGGTGAAGCTTGCCTGCCACCTTCCTACACATACACATGTGGCTGTCAAGGTCCTGGAGAAGACAAAGAATTCTCTGGCTGACATCATCACTGAAGTAGAGATACTTCAATCTGTTAAACACAGAAATATAGTTAATTTCTTTCATGTTATTGACACAAGTTCAACAACTTATCTGATCATGGAATATGTTTCAGGAAAGGACCTGGAATATTTCCTCCGGGAGAGAGACTTTCTAGAGGAGGATGAGGTCAGACCAATATTCCAACAGGTCGTTTCAGGAGTTCATTTTCTCCACCAAAAACGAATTGCCCATCGTGATATTAAATTGGAAAATATCCTTATTGACAGAGCTGGCAATGTCAAGCTCTGTGACTTTGGTATGGCCAGACAGCTGGCAGAGGGGCAGATGTTGGAGGAATTTTGTGGCACCTTGGTCTATTTGGCTCCAGAGATTTTGGCACGGAAACCCTACGATGGCCTGGCAGGGGATATGTGGAGCTTGGGAGTCCTCCTATTTGTACTGGTTACAGGACAATTTCCATATAGGGAATCCACCTTTGAAGGTATGTACAGGGTCATCAACACCACAAACTATCCCATTCCCTACCACTTGTCAAAACCCTGCATCATCCTCATTGAACAATTACTCATGGTCCCTAACCAGCACAGAATAATAATATGTCAGCTCCAGGAAAGACAATGGCTGGGCAACATTAAAGAACATGTAGCACCTGCAACTAAGGAAATCCTTTCCAGGGTCATGGAGACTATGTGCACCATGGGCTATACCTGTGGGGAGATTGTATCATCTCTGAAACACAAGCAACCAAGTAACTTAATGGCAACCTTCAATATCCTCAAATACAACCTAAGCTGTGGGGACAGCCATCAGCAGAATCAGGAGCCCTGCTTAAATGGCAATCCTGAAGGTGCCTTTCGGCTTCAACTCCCTTTGAAGAGAAAAGCCAGTGAACCTGCCTTTCCAACAAATAAAGGAGATAGGAAGAGACGCAAGATACACCATGCCCAATAGATACTCAAGGTAGGAGAAAAGACCTGTTCAGTCGAAACAGTCACAGAAGGTGGTGTCCTGATCGTGAATGTCATCCACAGTGCAGTAGGACACATTGCAGTCAACAGGAATTATGTGGAGAGTCTGCCTGGTGATCTCTCTTCAGGCGAATCAGCCCCAGATAGAATCCACACATGGTTTCTGAACATAGGCTTCTCCACAGAGAAACCATTTTTGGGCACAAGTCCAATGACCAGCGCCAAGATGAACCTACAACAACTGGATCCATGTCACTCAGGGGATGGAAGCTGACGAAGAAGAGAATTTCCCATGCACTGAGAGCACTGTTTTCCTGCTCCAAGCCCACTCCATTGTGAGGCCTGAATCCCTGTGTAATCTACAAAGAAATGAGAAGACTGTGCATTGCATAAGAGGCCCAGTTCTTTGGCCACCACGATGTTCTCCTCCAATGTATCTTGACTATGTTATTTTAATAAATATTCTTTTGTAAATCACAAATATAGTATCTCAGAGGGCACCTGCCAGGTGTATCTCCCCTACAGTCAAAAGCGCACACACACAAACACACAAACACACACACACATGAAAGCATGAATACATACAACTTGGTGTCAGGGTCTGCTAGGTATACAAGCATGAATTCTAAGCCTTTCACATTGCTAATGTTCAGGACCTACCTGGCATCACATTTTCTACAAACAAAGCCCCAAATATGCATATAGGTCTGTGTATCCAGTCTTGATAGGTATTCCCTCCCCTACTGCCATAGCAAAACCCCTT